GGAGAATTTGGTATTGCATCAACAAATAATCCCCTTATTGACATTTTTCTTTATTCTCATCACTTTCCTGCCAGAAATTTTATTGATCTTTTTAGGAGAAAGTCAGTCTCGGTCACTCGTGGGAGTTACATGGTTGTAAGGGTTGATGACATTGACTGAAAAGTACATAGTTTCAGCTTGAACCATCAGTAACATGAGAATCAAGTAGGGTGCCACTTGTGTCCTGAAATTCAACCTCTGAGTTGTCTTCTTCCTCTGAATCACTGAAAAGCATTTCTTGCAAATAATTAACTTGAACTATTCCTTCCTCTAGATCTCCTGATTCATCAAGACTGCACTCTGGGATATCTTGCAGATTTATTTCCACTCCTACTTTTCCATTGTCTAAACTTGTAATAATAACTCTTTGGAATGCATTTTCATAAGCGTGTCTGTGAGCAACCTTCTTTGCATACCCTAGCAATTCAATCTTCTTGGTGGGGTCTTTTTCTGCAAATGAGGAAAAAACAACTTGTCAACTTGTCAAATTGCAGTGCTGGTATTATAACTACATGTAAAACTGAATAACCCAGTGTCTCAATCTGGCATTCATGTAGCTTTTTTTCCACCGGACTAACTAGCCTGAAAATATCTCGATTTCCTTATCAGTGAAACAACTAAGAGTGTTACTACCCCCCTCCCCCCGCCCAAATATGATGCCAGTCCAGTGCAAGGATATCCCTGGTAGGAGAGAGACTCTGTCAAAGAAAAGTGTAAATTTGCCTAACAACGTAACATTAATGAACCAGCCAGATCTTGAAACCAGAAAAAATGAGGTTTCATTACTTACAATGTGGACCAAGAAGACCAAAACAAGGTTGGCAAGATAATTATTGAATCTGAGGGTTCAAATGCAAGGCTGTGGTCTAGCAGGGCCCTGTGGCCCCTGGCACCTTACTTTTGCTCTTGGGTGACTCAAGAATCTTGGTTTTTTCATAAAAAGCATAATTATGCTGGGCACCCTGGATTTCATGGTTTCAGAGCACTGGGCTCCCTTCAATTTTTCTTAGAGCACAGCCATGAAATGAAGGGGGAAGATTTTAATTGAAACAAAATTTTGAATTTAGTGGGCCATTAAGTGAAATAATTATGGTCTGCTAAATTGACCAATCATGGCCAACCAACTGACTGAGATATAAAAATTTCTTTAGCAGACCCAACCGGTTTCACTTAGCCACCCACTACGCTCTTCAATTCTAACCTTGTTCCAGTATGTTTTTATCTCCACCATATCCAGTACCTTCACAGAAGAATTCACAATCTTTTATCTCCAGCCTTACCACACATCTATAAACAGCATTTGTCTTTTCCTGGCTATCTCCAGCTTCAGACGTATTCTCAAGTCTATCCAACTAAAAGAACAGAACATCAGCACTGGTTAGTGACTAATGGAGCGGGATTTGTAGCACAGTTGTAGAGCGGTATGGACAACTAGCTTTCTTGCAATGTTCATTAATGCTGTTTTCATTTTCCTTTTCAAGAAGTGCTCCCTCTGTAGATTTCAGTGCTTACATTAACATATTATTTCTGACAGACCCTCAGACTCCCATGAGTGACCAAGATAAAAATTCTCCATACAATATCCATACAAAATCAGCAGAAAAGAGAGGAGAGGAGAGAAAAATATCAACTACAGTATCAGTGGTTCATCCAATACCAAATT